TAGATATTATAATTATTTGCATTAAAACATTTAGAAAGCTTAATTTATAATAAAAATATTGAAGATAAAAAAGAATGTTGGTTTTAAAATTAACATTTATATTTTGTTTTTCCATGTTATTTTACATTTCAGCCCTTTACTTGTTCAGTTTTTGCATATAAGCAACGGGCAAGCGCCCTGCTATATATATAATCGTTAATTGCTCATTCGACATAAGCGCTCCTTCCGCTCAAAGCCCTAGCCGCAGCCATGCCGCCCAAATTCGATCCGTCTCAGGTGGTGGAGGTTTACGTCCGTGTCACCGGCGGAGAGGTTGGTGCCGCAAGCTCTCTTGCCCCTAAGATTGGTCCCCTTGGCCTCTCCCCCAAGAAGGTCGGAGAAGACATCGCCAAGGAGACGGCTAGGGACTGGAAAGGACTACGCGTCACCGTCAAGCTGACTGTTCAGAACCGACAGGCGAAGGTCTCCGTCGTGCCTTCGGCGGCGGCGCTCGTTATCAAGGCTCTTAAAGAGCCCGAGCGCGATCGCAAGAAGACGAAGAACATCAAGCACAGCGGGAACATCTCGCTTGACGATGTGATCGAGATTGCTAGGGTCATGAGGTCAAGATCTATGGCTAAGGATCTCAGCGGCACCATCAAGGAGATTCTGGGAACGTGCGTCTCTGTCGGATGCACCGTAGATGGGAAGGATCCAAAGGACTTGCAGACGGAGATCACTGAAGGGGATGTCGAAGTGCCGCTTGAGTAAGTATCGTTTGATCGTAGTTGGGATTCTTACGGGTTTCTTGATTTGGTATTCTGTTTTGCACCTTTCGAACATTTGAACATTTGAAGATCATTGTAACTTAAGATGAATTTTGAGAGATTGCTTGCTTTAGATTTACTGCATTTTAATGACAATATAGTTTAGTAATTTTATTTTCTTACATGGTTATAAGAATGTTTGCTCCCGTCATGTTTTTTGTTTCAATTCCTTGTCGTGGGAAACACGAATTCCCTTAATAGGTATTTTTAGTCTCATTTTCTTAGTTGCTTTATTTTCTCTTGTGATTTATTAATTGAAGTGGATGTGTAGATTTTATGAGTGGGAACTAGTTGATTTGTTGAAAATTAAATGCAATGTTGATTTGTCTATTTGGACTTATAGTTGATGTAAGCCTATGTAGAGCACCAGATGGCGTGCATTTTTTTTATTGGATGATTTACACAAATACCACTTAATTCCTATGTGTTAGACATTTCTGACACCTAAACTTCAATTCCTATGCAATGCATGGAAATATGTTTTGCACTTTTTAAATGTTAAAATAGTGGTTTTTTTTTCATGTGATATGAAAAAAAAAAAAAGCTGTTGATATGACTTATATTCAAGTCATTAAAGATATGTATACTAGAGCTTTACCTGTGTTCAAACTGAAGGAGGATTGACAAAATATTTTCCTATTCTATTGGATTACACCAGAGATCGGCTTTAAGCCCATATCTTTTTGCTTTAGTTATGGATGGTCTTACTAGACATCTACAAGAGGATGTAATATATGGTGCAATTCATTTT